CAGGAGAATAAAACAATTGATCCGGTCTTAGACACTTCTTCCATGTCCACGCTTTAACTTATTTTGATAATGCCGCAGTTCAGACTGGTCTCAGCAGTGACAAATGCACAGTAGCTTATGGGCTGTAAACTGCCTTGATTTATTTAATAGATTTCATCAGATCGTTGCGAACAGCGTGTCTTTGGTGGTCTCCGGCCTCCTGATTCAGCCAAATTTCTTTTCCTTATAGTTATCGTCTGCAGCTGACGAATTTGGTTTGCTTGCAGGTACCAAACGTTTGTTTATGCTCACTCGGGTCGGCTTTTCTCAGGGACGGCAAGCTGACTATCGTATTTATTTGAGTTCAACGTGGCCTGACATTACCTGATCGGGGACCACTCAGAACCCCGTAGAGCTAATATTTGAAGCCACGCACGGTGTGCTTAGTACGCCTGCGATCATGTCTGATCGATCCGGGCAGATCTGGATAATTCAACCCATTCTCTTCGCCAGCAACAGAGACCGATGGTCGAACTTCCAGGAATCATTTCTATGGCTTAAGAAATTGCGTCGGGTCAGGTCTTGAGTTAACACCCCCTCTTAACGCTTCCAAGTGGATAACGGTACTGGATCTAAAGCGTTCACACTGAGCCCTTGGGGTAGATGAAAAAGAACGTGCTGAAAACGCTTTCTTTTTTCTTGGATGGTCTGACATATCCTTGCGATTTTTTTCGCAGCGAGTGCACACTGTCTCAGTTGAGACGAAGTCGATGCACTTCACTCTACGGATGGTCCTTAGGCAGCAGTGGTCAAATACCTCTAGTCTGCGCTCATCTTCGACGCGCACAGCTTGACCTTCACAAAAACAGAGGAGGACATACCGGACGGATACACGGTAAACGCGATGGAAATGGCCCATTGGATATAAGACACTTTCTTAGACTTGACAAAACCCTACTGTGGGTATTCGGCAGCAGCCTCGCACAGAGGTATTTAAAGCTGTCTGCTTTTTAAGTTGGTAGACAGACTTTCTCAGAATCACTAGTGAAACGTATTCGTTATCAAACCTGGTAGGGTGCGATAGTATACAGAAATATAGAGGGGGTGTGATGGAGCTTGCCTACATTACCATTTTGTCCAATGTGCAATTTCACCTTAGACGAAAGTTTAGCGTTCGGCACCGTATTCTCCGTCTTTGTAAACAACGTAAACATCAATTCTCACGAGCATTTAGTCTACTAAATTAGAGAGGGGTGACGGGAATGTGGATGCATCCACGCTTGCCTGTTCCTGTTAGGGACGCGCAAAGGCTGATGTTTACCGCAATAAGGATGTGATGCACGCACATTTTCGGCAAACAAATTCTATGTCTGCCATCTGCATAAGCACCCTGAAAGACAGCAAGCCCCTCGTTGAAACTGACCCCCCACCCCCGGGGTCGTTATGATTCATAGTCGTCGGATGGCGCCTTCAAGGAGAAGGGCACTTTGTCTGATGAGTTGGCAGTGGACTCGCATTGGAAGTGCCGGAAGTTCCCTTCATACGTGTGGTTTTACGCTAAATTCCGAGGAAAAGGGGGCCGAAGGGTTAGGACACATGCATATTATACCTCCTGGAACTTAGGACGAGACTATCTGCATTTTATGAAGGGAGAGAGGGACATAGAAGCAATTCCTGCCACAAAGGATTAGCAGATAATCCAATTTGCTAGGGTGAGCGAATTAGCTTTGGTAGAAGGCGGATGAACACGGTGAAACTGGTAGCATTCGCATTTTTACCGAACACAATCCTAAACTAATTCGAAACCAACAAAAAAATAATTCTGCAGAGACAGAGAGCCTAGAAAATTAAAAAAA